TACAGGTTAATCTAAGCCCCAACTTAATGAAGATCCGTTACCATAATGCAAGCCTATTTTTCAAACTTTCGTCGTCCATGGGATTTGAACCCTAGACTTGCTACTTGGAGAGGGTGACAACTTGACTACTTCACTAAGCCGCCACACCTCTCCTTCCTTTTTCCCTTCTTCACTCTTTTATCTTTCTTGGTTATTTCTCTATTCTTCTTCCATTTTTCCACCAATTCACACCGGAAATTCTATATGTATCTTCGGAACTATGTTTTGACTTTGTTAATGAAAGTCTGGAGGACCTTAGAAATCCTTTTCGCTTTGCATAGCAGGGAGCTAAATCTTTTCATTCTCTCTTTCATTATAAAACCTTTCATTAGCTCTATTCTGATCGAAATTCTTTTCTGTAGGTTTTCTCTGAAAATTATTTTTGTGATCTTTTGTATTTTTGTTGTTATGAGCTTTTCTTTTTCTTTTTCCGCTTTCTTAACAATAACCTCACTTCCTTCTATTTCTATAATTTCCTACAATCATTGGTACTCAGGGCATGCAGCGAGGTGTTCTTGTGTTTCAGCTTTTTGACAGCATATTTTGCATTTATTGTCCATATATATATTCGCTTTTTTCTGATGTATGACTTGTATCGTTGGCAGAAGATCGTCCAAGCACTTGATCTTGAAGACCCAATCTCTATGTTTTTCTGCACTTTTGCACATATTATCTTTATCTTTGCCTATATTTTTCCATACCTCTTTCTATTCAATTGCCTTGTTGCTGTCCTCTGTTGTTATCCATCTGTTTATACTTTTCAGGCTTTTCTATTCCATATCAATACTAAATTCAGTTAGTCTAGTGATAAAGCCTCTTGTTGCATCATCTACTCTTGTTTCTTGCTATCTGAGTTCGGTTATGACTTGCTTGTTCCAGGGCCACTTGGGATTCAGGACCACCTAGCTGCGTGTTCCTTCTTTTGCCAACTTATCTGCCTTCTCATTGCCTTGTATACCGCTGTGTGCTTTGACCTTGTTGAGCCTAATCTTTAGTTCTTTTAGATTTATTGTTCTTTGGATTTGTTTTAGAAGGCATAGATTCTTCTTTCTGACTATCTCGCTTTGCTTAATTTTGTCATTATTTGACTGTATTGCTTGTATCGCAGCTGCACTATCTGTATAAATACTGATCAAGGTCTTGCAGGGGGCAACTAGCAGGGCTGACCAAATAGCTCCTAGTTCAGCTCTTGTCGAGAATGGCCAGTCTCTTATTGTACCTTGAAACTCCGCTACAAAGTGGTCATACTTCTTGTTCTTGTTTTCAACTGCAACTACCCAGCCAATTCCTATTATTCTTCTATCTGGGTTTTCATCTAGGTTTGTGAGTGAACTGTCAGTGTAAAAAGCCAGTTTTTTGTGTCCTTCTAGCTGTGCTGTGATACTTTTTAGCTTCTCTGCTATTTGAGAACTTTTAATTGCTTGTTCGATTATTTCCACCACCAAGGAGTGTATAGCGACTTTAATTACTTCAGCTTCATGCATGGAGGGCGTTGGAGCTGTACCTGTTAGACTACTTGGGGTTACATTTGCCAAGCAGCTTAGGGGGACACTTAGGTTCCATATATGAGGTTCCACAGAGTCTTTCTGTAGCAGTCTCTGATTGATCGCTATCACCTTGTTTTTTACTGACTTGCTTTTTTGACACGATTCATAGGTCTTGTTCTTTCTACTGTTCTGTTCACAACCTTTGCACTTGTTCAGTTTAATCAAGTCGTTTTCCTGATCATTTGTCGATACCCAGTGCTCTATCGTATAGGTTCTTTTGTCTCTTTTCTTCATTATCTTACCAACCTCTATTTGGTCTTTGATCTTTATCAAGATCCACTCCTTCCTTCTTCTATCTATGCTTATAGTAACTGGTGCTATTTTTGGGCTTAGATTGTTTGTAGATTGTGTTCGAAAGGTGGCTTTAGCTCTTCGACTAGTTTTATCTATCAGAACTTCGTCTTCTATTCTCGCAAACCACAATGGTACTTTGCTAGCCGCTTTCAACCTTTTATATTTCTTGACCTGCTTCCATGTCAGTAGGTTAAGACCTTCATTATCAAGAAGCTGCTCTATAATATACAGCTTCATTTCTTTTTCTTGAATATAGCCTTTTATTTGTCTTTCCTCAAGAAAGTCTAGTATCTCTGTGCCTTTTTCTGTGAGCTTAAGGCTTTCTTCCATCTCTTTTGATCTAATGCTTATATTTAAACATTTTGCTTCAGTTATTATCTTGTATACCAGATTCTGTTTGAGCCTGACTTTTTTTAACCTAGCCAGGTCTAATTCCAGAATACACTTGGTACTTTTGTAATCAATCTATGCTTGTTGTATTCTGATCCATATTGCTTTGCCTGTATCATTTTGGCAGTGCATACGTTTATAGAGTTCTGTTATATGATGGGCTATTTGATTTTGCCAAATTGTTTTTAGGCTGGCTATGTTCCTGTGTGTTAGAATTGCATTTGCTGTTGTACTAGATAGGCCTAATTTGTTTTTAATCAACTTTACTAAAGGGCTTTGCAATCTATCGCACTGACCTCTCGATAATATACAATGCTGGAGTTTATATCCAAGTCTTGGTATCAATACCCTGTTGTTGATATATATTAATTGAGCTAAAATCATGCTTTTTTTGCGGATTACTTTTATTACTGCGTTGATCTCCTTTTTTGCAGTTTCGATTGTATGAAAATGATTAAGAGCCAGACACCTAAGAATCTTGCTATTTCAGTTATTTTTTTTCCCGTCACCTTGTCTCTTGTAGGCCCTACTTCTATATATCTACGATTCTTTTCTTTTTTTCCATCTACTATTAAAAGCTCAGACTTTTTACTGTTTATTTCTATGTCATTGAGCTTGTAGAACTCCTGTACAATCTCTAGTAACTCTTCTAGTTCTTGCTTATTGGCTACAATATAGGTAGTATTATCAGCATATGCAATAGCTAGGACTCGTAAACTCCATCGTATAGTGATATTATTACTAAGGCAAACAGGCCAGTTTGTCTCCAATTCATACCCTTGGTCATGATTTTCTTGTAGCTCAGCTAATAAGGGGTCATAAAAAATCTGCCAAACCAAAAGTGATATCACTTTCCTTGGTCTATTCCATTACTAGCTACAAATTTCTCCGTCGTACCTATGCTTGTGATAACCTCCATTTCCCGGTTTTCATATAAATTAATTATAAAACGTACTATTGTCTCTGGAACCTTGATTCTATCTAGTACAAGTTTAAGCATCTTAAGCCCTACAGAGTCGTATACTTTCTGCATATCTTGGAATATTAGCCATATTTCCTTTTTCTTCTCTTTTGCTTCTTCTAAGAGGCAGTTTATTAGATGTACAGGTGCTGCAGTGCTCTTTCCTGGTAGGCCGGTGTTACTCCCGTCACCTGACTAATTTTTTTTTTCCTTTTTCGGTTTGGTCTTGCTGCCACTGATCTATACTTTATTTCTTAATTCTATACATTAGTTATCTCATTTCCTTATTTGTATTTTCTATATGTATTTATTAATTATTACTATATTTAGTTTAGAAGTCTACAGTAGTATGAAATTGCTAATACGATTGACATCGATTGTTTAACTGACCCGATATGAACCGAAATTCTACAGCCCCATACTGAAAAAGATATTACCGAAACTTGGTCTAACGATTTTGTGAAAACACCAATGGGTTAATACATGAATTCCTGAAATGCCTTAATCAAAAAAGTTACTACATCCAATTGTAAATAAAGCATCTGAATCATATGATTCACACATATAATATTTATGTTCATCTAAAGATGAACGTGAAGCATTTAAATATGAGTGCCAAGTCGTCTGAATTATACACACCACATTTTGGTTTATCAAATAGATGAACGTAAAGCATTTGGTTATTACAACGCTTTTGTGAATCTGTGGAGGGGATTTATTGGTGTTGGAAGAAATTAGAAGAAATTTGAATTATAAATTGAATTGAGGAGACGAGAATAAGATAGTCCGTCAATAGAGTAGTTTAAAGAATTTATGTAAAGACAAAAATGTATTTAAAGACTGAGTTTTCAGCCTTCAATAAAATCTTCAGACTTCAATCTCAATAATTTTCTTTGTTTTTTATAATTAACCCCACGGCTATTTAAAGCTATCTAAATCATAAATTGTGTATTAGAAGTGCTACACTTCTTGTTAGCATTAAGCTATCTTAATGCGTGTTTGTTCTTGCAGTATTTATATATTGTTAGTTCTTTTGATTTTATTATCTATTCATGTAAATACATCTTCACAATACAGTTCTTATAAGACATGAATATATTTTCATGTTCCTATACATTATTCTTAGGACCCATTGATACCCCAACATGCCTTAAATTAATCCCTTTTTAGATTGTCAACAATTGACAATCGGGATTAATTTATCTGAACGTACATCGAATTTCCTAATCTACTTCTCTTAAATTTCAACATGCAGATCCCCATCTGTCCTTAAATAGAAACTGCCCATCTCATATCGGCAACGATACTCGCTAACCCGGTACCCCTATATTGGAATTTCTCACACTTCAAGTAACGCCTCTTGACTATATAGATCCATAGTTGGTTTACTATCCTGAACCAAACCGGCATCTAATATCCTGACACCTCCCAAACCGATAGTAACATTTGGTGTCGATTGTGTAGAATCATACGCCTGTCAGTTTTCAGAACATATGAACAATTTTGACCAACACCTAAGAAATATTACTGAACACGACCGCCATCATTATCTCTTTGGAAAGACATCCCAGGCCATAGATTATCTATCAAAATATTATCAGAAAGACTCCTGTATTACTTGTTATCCGCTTCAAGAGCCTTCATCTTACTTCATCACTTTCTGGACGTGGTTCAGCACATTCCAGCCGGCTATTTTATATTCCCAACACACTTTAAGACGTTTTGAAAAACTTAGCAACTTTGAAATCTATCAAATTCCAGACCAATTATTGAATCAGTTTATCTTTAGCTTCTGGTATAGTGAGCGCTTCGATGACTTTCCAACCCTAGTAAACGAATTTCTAACAGCATACAAAAGACCAATCAGTTTGTTAAAGACCCTTTAGCTGACGTATACAATAGTGAAACCTTAGAAGAAAATCTACAAGATGACAATATGGCCCAAGACAATAATCAAAATCAAGTTATCCTTCTCATTGACCCAGATGATGATAATTAGATCGATTAATCTAACCAACCCATCCAGCCCATCCCAATACTTCAGCATAACCACTTCGGTCACCAAAACCAAAATGATACTCAAAATAATCCAGTGACCCTTTTTGCCTAACAGATTAGAGCTCTAGTAATACAAATGCAACATGCTCCGCCACCCCAGATTAATATTCCAGCTATCAATGTGGCAGCCCAGAATCAGGAGCTAAATCTGGTGTCATACCCAAATTTTTTTGGGGTGAGCAGAACCCCATTAGTTGGTTGGAGGACATAGAAAAAGCCTTCGAAGCCAACCAAGTACAAAACCAGCATAGGATACTTGTAGTAATCCCCTACTTGAAAGGTACAGCGGCCACGTGGTGGGTCAATGCTCAAAATGTCCATCCTATGGACCGATGGAATAATCGTGACCATCAGAACCGGAGTTTTTGTTTCCAATTTTTTGCTCAATTTCAGATACCAGCTTTTGAGAGCAAGTGGTTTGCACAGTTAACTCAGTGAAAACAGGGCCTGGTTAAGGATGTTGATTCATATAACGTATCCATCGAAGAGTTGCTTCGACAAGTCGAATCGGGTGGTCATCGTTATTCCGATACCGCTAAGGCCCAGATGTTTATCAACGGCCTTAGATCTAAACTTGCCACTTCTGTAGCCCCCTTTATACCCAACTCTTTAGCTACCACTTATGAAAGAGCCAAGGCTTTTGAAAATTCTTTTAAACAAAACCCTCTTAGCTACAATCCTTATTTGTCCTACATCAGCAAAAATAAATAGGCGTAAACCTCTGCAAGTTTTTACGCGAGCGTAAACTTACAAAAATTTATGATTAGTTTGGAGTATTACGTAGGTGTAATAATTATGAAAGTTTACGCTATAGTAACTCCAGAATATTACGTAAGTGTAATAATTACGAACATTTACGGCATAGTAAATTTAA